TTTGTGAGGTCGTTGATGAAAAGGCATACATAACTACAAGTATTTTTAGTACTTTTATTATATTTCTTCTTTTCCTGATTTTATAGGTAATGTTTGGAATATAGTAATACAGGGCGGCATCAAATAATAAAAACGGGCGCAATTTTATTCCCTATGGGAAAATGAGAGATGTGATTAGTGCAGAATAAATTTTTTTATTTTTGACATAGATTTTAAGAAATTCAAGTTTGAATATCCTTTGCATTTCTTTACTGTTGTAACAATGTTATCTTTTGTCGAGTGATGTGAATGTGTATTGTATTTGTAAACAGTATTTGCACCAGCGCGGCATGGCTTGGAAGAAAAACAGGAAAAAAATTTTCAATGGAAAAATTTTACTTTTTAGTTATGGCCGCATAATTATCGAAGCAGGTATCCTCGGTAACGTGTTTTTAATTTTCTGTTCCTTAAATGTATAATTAATTACTTGCATTATTGGTTTTCACTTTACATATGTTCATTGTAAATCTTTTCTTTATCATATTCTTCTAAATAAAAGTTCGTGGGTGTAAGGTCTGGAAATCATCGAGGTCAGACGATCATCCTCACACGTTTTATCCAGTAATTATAATTATCATTTAAAAATCTTCTTTCATTTCATCTGAAACATGGTGTAGTATAATACGCGTTTACATCGCTCAAGAGAAAGTAACACTACTGTGGGAATAAAATCAAAGGTTTAAATAAAACACACAAAACTATTTATTTTAAGCAACAAAACGAACACTAATAACAACAATACATTTAATTAACTATTTTTAAACGGAATTTATATATGCTCAATCGCTATTTCTATTCGTTTCTTTAAATTTCGCCAACTTTCTCGAAACGTCTTTCATGTCTGAAACTCGTCAACGAACTGTCGTTTTTTTTCTCAGCGTTTCTTTGTCTTGCTATCAATTTGTTAATCATATCGATAACTCTCGAACACAACATTCAAAACTATTTACAATCAATTCCACACTCCACACTACTGTAATAGCACAGGAACATAGTGTATTTTTAATCTTGAATCTATACAGTAATCTGTAGTTTTAAATGTCAAAAATATTTACTTCATCGGTACGCAAGTAATAAATGCATCGTCCATCTATTTTTCTTTTCTTCTGAAGTTACTGCTAAATTCTTCATTTTTTCATAACACTCTAAATAATTATTATAAGACTTTTTAAGTTGAATGCATTAAAGGATATTCGAATACTATATAAACTAAAATATTTGGTCGAATGATCAAATTTTCCTATACTACAGTCAACCTGATAAATACCTTACATGTATTTAAGATACATTTCGATTTGAAAGTAAAATTCATCCGAAAAGCTGCCGATAAAGTTATTTCACGCTGAATAGATAATTCTTTTAACTTGAAAATTAAGAACATTTAAAGTCAAACAAAATATTATACAGGGTACGCGAAGTTATGGGAAGCGATTTCAATTCTAATTCTACGCATTTCAAATTTGAATAAAAAATATATACATTGTAGCAAGCGAGAAGAAGAATCATATAAAACGCGAGTGATAAAAAATCACTAAGAAGACCAAAATGTTCAATCCTGTAATTTCCGATAAAATATTAAATGAATAAATTATAAATCCACACGATTCAAGAATAATCGCAAATCAAATATTATATAGCGTTGAGAAAATTCTAGGACATCGAAAGTCCACGAATGATCAAAAGGTGAGGCGTGTTTTTTACGCGAAGCCGCGTAAAGCGAACTTGATAACGAGCCTGTTGATAACGGCGGCTGCGGATAACAACCGGCATGTATAAAACAACCAACGGGTGTTCTTGAATTAAATTAGGGGCTCCGGCAGGAGAGTTCAGCGAAAATACCTGGACGCCTGCCTGGAGAATAGGGGAGAGTACCAGAGCTTGTTCGTGGTGAACATTTCTGGTGGTCTGTCGGTCAAGAAAGGACAGAGCATCTCCTGGACGCCCGTATGTTAAAAAGAAGAATTCGTGAGGTTATTCCTGGTCGCCCGTTTGATATGGAGAATTCGCATGTAATACCTGGATCCCAATCGAATGGGAGAGAACAGAGTTACTCCTGATCGCCTAATTGAATAGTTTCACGTAAAAATAAATTGTTTTGCGTACAACACAAAAAATTGTATATACTATGTAAAGACATGTTCCACTCTTAATCCTTGAAATAAATTCTATGTTTCAGAGCTTTTGTCTTATAACCAATTATGCCTAAAACATTTAAAATTTTGTAACTTTCATTTTCATGAAAACTTATATTTGCAACTATTTTAGTTATTTGATTTAGAAAACTGTGGTCATCAAATTTTCCTATCTTGTGTGATCAAATCTACATCTAGTAATAAATAGAAGGTACATACTTTTGATTATTAAATAGTTAATTAATTGACAAAACCTTAAGGGTCATTATATAAATAATAAAACATACATAATGAAAGAAATTATTATTTTATCAATGGATAAAATAATTTTAAGAAAAAAAATACACTGACTTCGAAATGCACTAAAAAATATAAAATAATTTCTATTTCATTCAATCATACAATTACGTAACAGATATGAATGAAACCTATTTACTCGTTAGGTAGTATATTAAATACATTTCAACCTTTTCGGAGGCGGCGCAAAATAAGCTTCGGAAGAATGGAATGTCGTACCGAAAGATTTCCGAGAAATTAGAGATTTCTGTTATGGCTTGCCATCAAGCTATACAACATATTGTCCTTCATGGAACACCAGACAACATTCCTCGTAAAGCGAGACCTCGAAAAACTGATCAAAGAACAGATCGCAAGATTCACCGATTATTTGAAGCGAACAGATTCAAAACTGCAGTTGCCACCCACAAAGAAATAGCAGCAGATCTCCATAAAAAAATAAGTGTTAGAACTGTCCAGCGAAGACTTAATGAGTTTCAACTATACGGACGCGTTGCCAAAGAGAAACTGCTCATTTCAGAAAAAAATCGTCGGGCTAGGATTGCTTTTGCGAAAGATCATTTAAACTGGACACCTCAGTAGTGGTCCAGAGTAATTTTTACAGATGAATCGAAATTTAATCGATTTGGATCTGATGGCAAAGTATACGTGAGATGTTGCAAAGGAGAAGAATTTCATAAAAATTGTATTAAACCGATTGTAAAAGGTGGTGGTGGGTCGGTACTCGTTTGAGGGGCTATGATAGTAAGAAGTATTGGTCCTATTCATCGCACAACTGGAATCATGGACAGATACGCATATTTGGATATTGTAAAAAACGTATTACTACCATTCGCCGAAGAATACATGCCACAGGAATGGGTCTACCAAGCAGATAATGATCCAAAACATTCCGCTAAAGTCGTTAAGACATTTTTGAGTGACAACAATATTCGCGTAATGAACTGGCCAGCACAATCTCCGGATCTGAATCCAATCGAAATGCTGTGGATTGATGTCGACAAACATGTACAAAAGCAGAAACCTAAAAATATTGATGAATTGTACACTATTGTACAGGAAGCATGGAATTCGATACCTGCTAGCAGATGTGTTCGACTTATCGAATCCATACCTCGAAGGTGTGCTGCAGTTATAAAAAATAAGGGTCTACATACGAAATATTAATGTATTATAATTATAAGTTAAATAAACATTTGAAAGTATAGGTGTTTCGATGTGTACTTAAGTATGTGTCCGCAGAAAACTTGACACTTCGTCATAAAAATATGAAAAACTTTTTGATTATAGCAAATTAAAGAAAGCTATTTTGAAATCTTATTATGCATATTGTAGGTCTATAAAAAATATAATTGATTTTCATATACTCGTGTAACGTATAAGTGTAGAGGAAATAATATTTATTTCTAGTAAGCGTACGTAAGTATATGTATGGCCGCCACTGTATGTTCGGCGTAGGATCACAAGTATTCATTGGATGTATGTATCCTACCAAGACTGGGAAGGTCAGTTAATAAATACACAAAACAAAATTTAACGATTACTTAAAGCTTTAGTTTCATTACTTCTATACAATTTTATTTCATAAATATAAATAATGAATATTGCACACTTTCCCGGCATAAAAGGACGGTACAAATATATTGACCGCTATTTTAATTAAAAAATAAATAACTTATTAAAGCAATCCTGCGTTAAGTACTATAAACCGTATAAATACAAATTAATCACACGTGTACTATCATCATTTGTAAATTGAAACAAATTTCAATACATACTTCATTCAGTTCAATTCGGAATCTCACAGATGATGAAGATTCTCCATGCAAAGTATTATAAACTTAAATAATTGTATTACAAAAACACGTTTCACAATCAAAATACAAATTACATTCCTCACATTTAATTTCCTTATAACATAATATCAAAATTGTGAAAAGAATATGTTGAAGACTTTAGAATTATGTTCCACCTTACATGCTGCGCATAAAAATACGTTAAAATAACTATTTTACATTATTTATGTGCTTTGTTTCAATTTTTCGCCGCATCTGTTCAATTCGCACAAATGCAATTCACATTTATACCCATATTCAACCTGTAAACTGGGAAGATGGTCTAGTTCGTCATTTGAATGATGAACATGCAAAATTAAACCCTTAGATAGATGGATACCGTGTCATTTATCAGAAAATAAATTTTAAAATAATTTTATCAACATATAAAACTGTATTTCTTAATTAACCCTTCAAATATGAATCGTTAATACAGCGAAAATTTTATTTTATTTTAATTTTATTTTCTGATATATGAAATCCCTCTATTAATAAATAAGCAACTAACTTTGGTCTAGACATTATTATACATTTTTAAAACTCTAGATCAGAATCAACCCACAATTTGACGAGCAAGAGTTAAAGATTTGAAAGTCGTTAAGCTTTTAAAAAGAACGATAAAAACACTAAAATATTAAACAAAACAAAAATTTAGTATAGAAATTTGTTAAACAGTAGTTGCTGTACGATTATTACATCATTCAAATGTTCACAGTATTGATTTATTAAGCATGTTCAAGTTAGATCTGTGTTAGGAGCAATTATTTGTTTTTATTAAATTCCTTCGATAAAAATTAGAATGAATGACTGTCTGTTCATCGAAAAATTACCCAGTTGACAGGTTACTTGATTAATTTTGTGACACTGAACTGTTGATTACTCATTTCCGTATGCTCTTGCAGTCCTGATTAAGTTGTATTTCATTGAATCGCGTTCATTTTCAGACCTGGTATTAGCGTAATCATTAGTCAGACCCTTGTCACATATCAATTCATCATCGGATGGAAGTACATCTTCTATCAATTCCAAATATGTATCGAATGGACACAGTTTATCACAACCGGGTAGTTGAAGTTCTACTCCCTTCGATGGTATTCCCAAGTAGTTTATGACCTGTAAGTGTAAATAAAAACATATTTAGGTTTTTGTGCTAATTGGTTTATTTAAATTAGTACCACTTTTTATTCTTATAAAAAGGTTTATTAAAAAAATATTAACATGTTATAAATTGCAGAATAAATATTGATAATCTCAAGTCACTGCACTGAATCATACAATAAAATAGAGAATAGCCCAGTATTTTGATATTGAAAATTTTTGAATTTAGAAATTTAGAAAGGGAATATAAAAATTTGAGTATCTTAGAATTTAGGCATTTTAAAATTTAGGTTTTTGAAAAGTTGGAAATTTTGAGAGTTTGGTGTCAGGGTATTTAAGAATTAAAAAATTTAGAGATTTCAAGATTTAAAAATTTTGAGTCATTAAACTCTGGAAATTTAGAAACTCGAAAATTTGAGAAATTGAAAATCTTAAAATTTAAGAATATGAAAATATTGTTTTTGCAGAATTTGGAAATTTAGAGATTTTGAGATTTACAAATTATGAGGTATTAGAATTTGGAGATTTGAAAATTACAAAACCTAAACTTTTATAAATTTAATCATTTATAAATTACGGAATTCGTAAATTTGACGATTTTTGAACGGGTAGTTTTGAAAATTTGAAGATACCTTTCTCTTACTATTTGAGAAATTAATTCTAACACGAAAAGGCAGATTAAAATTGTACGTTAATACATTGTTACATACCTTCACATAGTAGTCGTACTCTATTTTATGAAGTTCCAGTATCAGGGCACTGGAATATTCAGGAACATGAGGATAGTATACTTGAAGGCAGTGCATTACAGCAGCAATGTTACTTTCGTGTCCACTGTATAGATGTATCTTCTTTTCGTTCCCCGGTTTGCCAGTTATAACGTTTAACATTATTTTCGTGACGTCCCGAAGATACGGCCCTAAATGTGATATTCAAATTGTGAATAAAATTCAAAATGTGTAGACATGCCTAAACTAATCAAACTAATCAAATACAATTGTAGGATAATTAGACTAATTACACTGTACAACAAATTTTGACTTTTTTTGGATTTTTTGTAAGAATTTCATAGTAGCCGTTACGAAATCAGTTGGCTATTGTACAGTGTTATTATACTTAATCAAAATTTAAGAATTGAGAATGACTTAAATTTGACATTTAATTGATAATTCAGAGAAGCGAGGTCAATTATGTGTCGCGATAAAGAATAATCAAGAAAAGGGAACAGAAAAGGAAAGTAATGGATTATAATCTTACCTCCACTTAGTCTTTGCAGTAAAGTAGTTGCACAGGCAGCATCGTACGCGTATACTGTTCCGTTCCATAATTCACCGTTTGGGAACACTGTATATGCCCAATCTGGTAAAGTGAGACCAAGAGAATATTCAGCCATTAATGTATGGTACATGTAATACATATCCCATGGCGTAGTTATATTCTTTCCAGTCCATGCAGTTAAATTTTTCATGAACTCGCTGTATCGGGAAAGTCCTTGCTGTCCTTGCACTGACCTCAGTACCTTATCGTATTCATTTAAATACCTAAAAACGAAGATAACGTTATCTGTATTCTTGAAAAAATAGTTTTGTTTTAAGACCGTTACATTGCGACAACCAACGTCAAAAGTTAAAAAATTAGTAAATATGATAGATGCAGTAGCTGTAGTTAATAACTTTAATAGCACAGTACTTTTAATAGACTAGTTTCATGTTGCAACCTTTCGGGTAGCTATATTTCTTTTTTCTTACGATTTAACTTTACTTAGCTTAAGTTTTACAGAAAGTATTTCGTTGCAAAATGAAAATAATCATATTAACATTTCAGCTTCAGTTGAAAGTGCATCGTTGAATACGAAGCATTAGCGTGTTTTGAAAGTTATTAAAAGGCAAGTTAAATTATTGAATTTTTTAATATAGGTAAACCATAAAACATTATTTTTGCATGACTCATCATTAAACGTGTTTGTTTTTGAGTGCTCAAAGACTACTAAATTTATTTTCTGGCTATAATTATTATTTTTCTGTCGAAACACGTATATATGTATACAAGATGGAACATGTTACCGTCGGAAGCAAATTTAGTTTCCTGAGGAAAAATATGATAACGAAGAAGAAGAACTCGTTGATTATCTGAGACTTTTGCAGATTTAAAGTTTTGAGAATTTAGATATGTAGAAATCTAGAAATGTAACGATTTTGAATTTTTAAATTTGAGGAACTTGAAACATAGAAGTGTTGTAAACAAGAAATTTGAAGATTTAAAAAATTATAAATTTGAGAATGTGGGGGTTTACTAACTTACAAATTAAAAAATTTGTAACTATTAAAATTGAAAAATTTAAATCGCAAATTGAAATATTGAAAAATTGAAAAATTTGTGTTCTTATTAGAAGGAAGCCTACGTTGCTTTTACACGTGAACCATGCTTCCTTCACATTATATTTGTTCAATCTCTGTAGTAATCTTTAAAAAAATTTACGATAAATATTGGAAATTAGCGGACATTAATACAATTATCTTCATGTTACTCTATACGATGAATATTTACTACAGCAATTAAGAAAACATTTCATTCCCTAACCTTTGACACAGTCACATAAAAGGAAGTATAAATTCTTTATCGCACTATCGTTTGCGAGGAATAACTGTCGATGAATAATTTTTGCCTTGTTCCTGGGACATTCCGAGGAAAATGTAGTGCTTACAATTTATCAATTTATAATGAACGTTTTAATATTATTCGTAATTTATTTAATCCATTTGCAAACGAAAGTTTGCTTAGTTCTATATGTTCAAACTCAAAAATCAAAATAATAAAATGACATTGTACATCTTCTTTTAAGTTATGTATGAAATGAATTTGATTTTCAGAAAGGTGAAATTGGTCTCTAAAAGAGCGAATTTTTTTGTAGAAAACTGAATGAGAAAAAAGAATTAATTTGATTTATAAGGAGCTTAATTTGGAGTGGCAACATCTGTAGTATAATTGTAATATTCCCAACTTCTTTTTTACGTTGTTACTTAATGTTACAATGCTGTCTGTAACTCTTCCCCTTTTCTGCATTCCTTAAACATAAAACGAATTTTATACTTACATAGGACATTCTTCTCCAAGAAAGAAGTTGTCTTCGAAGCGTCGCACATAATTTGCTGGAATTGGTTGCCAATTTAACATCGCATTCCATTTTTGTTCTTTGTTTGGTGGAAACAGTCCTGCCAGCACTAGTTGCAGTGACATTTTCGTTCTGTCATAGTCTGAACTAAGGCAATTAGCTGTATCTGGCGTGTAAATGTCTCCCAAAAATCTTCCATATTTCATTCGTAGAAATTTTCCAAGGGTGTATTCCCGCCGTTTACCTTGCTAAAATTTATGAAACATTTTTATTAAGAACTTTATAATGTACAATCATAATCAACGTTTCATAATGTACAAATTGTAATCAATATTCTACTTAACAATTATTTTATTAGTAATACGTTTCAGTTATATATAAAATTTTATAACACGTAATACAGTAGGCTCTTGTTACATCGTCGCAGACAAAATTGTAAGAGTAAAAAATTCATGACATTAATTGAATTAGCTGAAGAACCTTCTTTTTGTTGATATTGCAAACTTTGTGAATTTAGACACGCTATAGCACCATTATTTGCAAGGAAAATCCGGGTGAAGGCAGTAGTATAACGAGAATTTATTATATTTCGAAAATTGTTATTTTTTTAAAATAATTTTGTTAGTTCTTTATGATGTTATTACTTATGTATAATTTATAATTTATTTATTATATTTTCGACTAAATTTATTATGCCATAATGAAATTAGCACGTATATCAACAATATTAATGAAAATAATGGCAGATATTTTGGCGATATTAATAATTATAATGCCTATTAACAGTTAAATTAACAAAAAACTTTTGTTTTTAAAATTTCGACAATTTCGACAATTTCGTCTTGCTTGCCGCAAATATTTTTTTTACAACTATATGAACAAATTTTCGAGCTCATTTTTTTTAAAAGCCAAGCATTATAAAGAAGAATTTTATTTTACGTTTTCAATATTTTTGTCTTTATCTGATTGTACCACCACTTGTACAATACTTAGGATTTTTAAAATAATGACTGTTAAAGTACTTTTGTACTAAAATAGCTTGCGTAAACTAACTCCTTTTTTCCAGAAAAATACTAAATTATACTACTAAATGAAGTTTCTGAGTTAAAAATAGTTAACAATGAGTATAATAAATTACAGTACAATGCTTTTGAACAAAAATACAATCATAAATACTTACATTAGTTAATTGTCCACGGCCCATTGGATAGAAATCGGAGTTGAGATATGGGTCATTTGGATACTTCTCATTATCAGTGTCATCAGGCGTTCTATCACCGTGTCTAAACAACTGTGAAATTGTGCGAATTATGCATAAGAATCAAGACTCGTTACGTTGGTATATTATATTAACTAAGATTTTTCAAAACGTTTAAAATGAACGATGATTTTCACTTTATTGAGTATCGGTAGAATTAAATTTTACATCTGAAAAAAAAATATGATTTTCACGTAACACGTTGACCACCTTGGCAAAAATGAACGTATTGTTATATTATGCAGATTTCTATTGTTTTTAAGACAATTTTGTTTATTAATGCTTTGTAGCTTTTAAAATAATGTTAGTCGTAATATGTTTCTATTTTTTAGATGATATGTAAATAGAATCTGTGCTTTTAAGTAAATACATGCTAAAATTCCTGAATTTCTAAATTCCCAAATTTCTAAATTTTTAAATATTCAAATTTTTTAATTTTCAAGTTCTCATATTATATTCTCAGATTTCAACATTTTAAAATAATAACAATAATAATCAAAATAATTCATATCCCAAATCCCTGAATTAGCAAAGTTCTAATCTTTTGACTGATCAAAACTTGCAAATTTTCTAATTTGCAAATATTCAATATCGAAGGTTTTCCAAAAAATTTTCCAAAAAACAAGTTTTGAAAGTTTCAAATACCCATATTCTTAGATTCCAGTACGACTAAATCCTAAATATAAACTTGGTACTAAAGAAAAATTTACTTTTCCGTTGCTGAATATAGTAAATCGACGAAGTATCAATAAATTAATCATAACAATTATTTTTATAATGACATTAATAATATAAATTATATGATAATTATTACTGTAATAATATCAACGCTTCATAAGTTTTGTATATAAAGTTAATATCAATTTTTGTACATCACACTGTATCTTCTTAACTTTCGTTAACAGTTACGATATACAAATATAATATTATATCTTTATAACACAAACAATAATATTATATCTATGTTATTGCCATTATGCAAAAAAGAAACTGAATTTTGTTTTATTTAAATACTTAAGTATATTCATTTATTTAAATGTTTAGACACACTCATTTATTTAAATATTTCTAATCTATTAACTGTTTTGTAATATATGTACATTGTAGTAAATGTAGTCTAATAACATTATTTTGTTCACAATTATTTATAGAATTATTTCATGTCAGTAAACTAACATCATAAAACAATTTACAGCTGAAAAGCATTTTTATTTTAAATCTGAATAAAGTAGTTTGCAATTTCGAATTCAGCGCATAAAAATCTATAAGAATCGCGTATTGAAGAGTACAAAATCGAAAACATGAATAACTTATTAAACAAATTTTAATTAGACGTAGTCTTTCATAGATGTCAAGCCAATCATTTCTTTTTTATATAAAAGCAAACAATAATAGAGGTAGAATATTATATGTATTACAAAATCGTCACATCACATAGTTTGATTTTCAGCAAAAATTAAGGAGATATAATATGTTGTATCATTTTAACTAACGCTTTGTGTTGGTGAAATAAGGAAAATAGACATGTTATATGTATAATGACGGATATATATCTTATCGATTTCCATTCTGGAATGAATTAATAATGTAGATGTATCCATAGATATGGATTATCTTGTGTGTGACGTTTCATGCAAATTTGTCAACAGTGATATAACAAAGTAAAACGTGTTACTAATTGCACTAGTTATATTTGAAAAATAAAAAGTTCTCTTCTTTTCTTGAAAAATATTGAAGATAAAATATTTATATATACCATTATTTTGGCATTAAAAGACAATAAAATGTTACTTAAATCTGATATCTGATTCGTTTTCTGACAAAATAACACTAATCTTGAAATGTCATTCATAATGACTTTCGAATTACCTTTTTTGTTACCACTAACATATTTTCTGATATAGCACAAAATCCAATTGGTTATATTTTTCTATCTTTAATAGCAGTGAAAATCATTTAGATACTAAACTTATGTAAGACAACCTGTATTTTCCAGTTCTGAGAATTAATGGGTTAATTATTCAGCTACCTTGAATTTGTGGTGCCGATCACCTGTGACCCCCATGGCAGTCAACGCTTTATAGTTACAAATATACATATAATATAAATAGTAGTAATTCTTACCACGGTCACAAGTTGAAGTTCTGCTTCAACAGTTGTGACACAAATTATCACAGCTAAACCAATGATTGCACACATTAACAAGGTACGATTGGGCGACATCATCTTGCGGGTGTATTGCCTGAAAATATAACATATGTGTTAACATAAAAACATTAGAGATTTTCAATTTAGTAATTTAACAACGAACATGATTCAATTTTTAATTACAATCTCTAAATTAGTCCATTTAAATATTTTTTCATTTGAATTATTCCGAGCAGTTATTATTAATTAATTGGATTTAAAATTGGATATTTTGCCAATTAGAATAATCACTATTGACAACTTCAAGTATTCAATCTGTAATAACTGTCCCTGAAAAATGTGTTGTAAATTGCAGCCGTAAGTGCAACATAAAACATTGGTTGTCGCAATTAAGTACAGTTTTATGCATATTGTTTTATGCAAACGCGGTCCTCATTTGCATATTAGATGCAACGAACGCGGGGCAATAGATTAACGAACGCCAGTATATTGCATGATACTACTAATAGTAATTAATCTTCCTGCATTTTGAATAAGAAAATCGTTATCAAGAATTCCAACGGTTAATCTTATTAGGTAAGTTTCAAATTGAACAATTGAATAACCATTTTACTAAATCTTGCGAAGTCACTGTCAGGAATGAAATAAATGCACGATAAACAAAACCGAACTAATAAAATCATCATTCTTAATTAGTATCATTTACTTATTCGCATATTCGACAACGGGTAAACTACTCTACCTGTATAACGTAATTATTTCAATTTAAGAAATTATTAAACATTTAATTTAATTGTTCTCAGTTTAATTTATTTCTGACTTAGTCATTTTGATATCTTCAAAAATACGCATTTTATATTTTTACTTTGTATTTTAAATTGCAATGTTACTTTAATTGTATATTTTATATTTCAGAAATATTATGAAAATTTAATACTGTAGAATTTAGTAGCTTAAAATTTACTGGCTTAAGAATAATAATTTAAAATTCAATAATTTACAATTTAGTAATTTAATAATTAAGAAGTGCACATTTTTAACTTTAGTCATTCAAAAATTACTAGAATAAGGTTTAATAGTCTAAAGTAAACAATTTAAAGTTTAGTAATTTAATGAATTAACACTCAGAAATTTAGTGACTTAATAATTTAGAATTGAATAATTTAACATCGAGTGATTTCGAAATCAATAATATATGATTAACAATTTAAAAATTAATAATTAATATTAAATAATCAAAAGTTTCGTAATTTAATATTCTATAATTTAAAATTTTATAATCTAATGATTCTGCAATTTGAAATTTAATAATTAACAAATTTTATATTCGTTTATTTGACTATTAAAAATGAATAATATAATTTGGAGATTTGCGACAACAATTAAATAATTTTAAATTTCATAAAATCATTTACGAATGTTACAATTTTATGTTGAAATGCTCTTAAATAATAACTTTGTGTATTAGCGGTTCAGTTTTTCTTGTCATTCTATGCCCCCAACGTTTTATGTTCTCCATATGTAAATTATCGCTAAAAAAGAAAAATTGTAAGATACTCTACAATCGTAGTATATTCTTTTGTAATATGATTTTATCGTAATTTTTTATTACTTTTTTACGGTTCACTTACGGTATCGTTGTTCTACTGTGTAGCAGGCAATTAATAATACTGAAGTGCCGATTGTGAGACCATCCACTGAGATACTGGCCATGTTGCCTATGTGCAAATGATTTTAAAGGAGAGTAACACGTCAAACGAATATGTCTTTCCCTAGAATGGTTTCTCAATTGTCGGTTTCGGTATCATTAGAATATGCCGTAGAACACGAAATGGAAGTCCCCATTCCTAACCCCCGCGAAACGCGCACGAGCTTTCATAATACAATTACATACTAAACGATAAGGAAACTTTTCAAGGGTTTTTGATTACAATGACGTTCGTTGGGACGATGACGTTGTTTCCACAAAATTAATACATTATCTTGGTTATTATGAGTGCATACGTTATGAAAATAACACAATTTCCTACCGATTATTGCCGTTTCCGCACTCCTCTCTTTAACCACGACCATATTAAATACATACGATAATATTTAGTTTCCTACTGTAATTTTGTAGCATTCCTTTATCTTTTTCCTAGTTCTCTATGACAAATAGAAGTCATTAACGACATGAATATTTACGCGTCAGATTGTTTTAACATTTTGAACAATTGCATCGATGTTAATATTATAATTGTTGTTTACATCTATTGTGTATAGCAATGGTTCCTAACGTATGTATAAACCTAACCTCCAAGGGGATTACCTCTTTGCGAGCTATCACGGTTATTTTCAATTGAAGATTTTTACTTTTATTCCTTTCAATGTGACTATTACTATATTACATTACAATATTACATTAACCCTTTACTGTACGATGTTTTTAATTTTGGAGAAAAGAATAAGTTTTTAAGTTCTTATAAGCAATATTGATTCAAATAACATTCTTAAGTAAAAGTATCACTTGCAAGAAACACTTTTATAAGTTACTGTATAAACAAATATATTCTATTTCAAAAGTTTACTTAATAGATAGTGCTATACCTAATATTGCTGAGTACCATTTTATAAAGGACAACCAATTATTGTTGGAAAAAAAGAGAAATATTTTCCGTAATCTTATTAGTTAAAAAGTTTGATAACATACCAGAATTTTATAATATATTTTTTTATCTTGCATATTTGCAACAGGTGCAATGAAATAATGTAACATTAATTTCTCATAAATTTTTCGTTGCGGATTCATATATTCTTTTAAATATCATAAATGTAGAATTACATTTAGAAAATTCTGTATAGTTTTAACGTCTCGTTTTATTTGAATTATATTTACCTTACTTGATTAAAGAATGATAAGTTGCAGGGTATTTCAATATCATGAAAAAATGTCACAATTTAAGAAAGGTTGAGTAACACTGCCCTATAGAGTATATAGGGTATACAATGTTACGATTTTCAGCTACTTTGGTGACTTAACAAAAAATGTTCCGATTAGAAGTTGATCAGTTTTAAGTTGTTTGTACGTTGCTTTAAAAATATTTCCAGAAATTTGTAATTTTTATCAAAATTAAGAAAGCTCGATTAATCGTTTCGATTTTGTCAAACGGCACTATGTATTTTTAATTTCATAATGTAGTAACTTTAAACAAAACGTGTTTAACAAGGGCAACAACCTTGAAGTGCATTTAAAAATGTGAAAATTATTTGCATCAAATTACACGTGCAAAGAGATGTAAAGTTTTAAATGTAAGAAAAGCAAAAGTTCGTAGAAAAATGAACAACCTGTACAATATGGTAATATTTTTATGTCTTTAGTTAACGTTTCTACGTTATAATAGATTAGATAATAGTATGTAGTAAGTGCAGTAGATAGTGTAACAGTATAATAGTAAAAATTATAAACGAAAAACACAAAGCTCATTTCTCTTATAAAAATATAAGTATAAAATATACTTTTTGAAACTTCCTTTTCTAGAATTTAAACTTATTAATTGTTGTTGCAAAAGTTTTTCTGCTAAACTACTGGAAATATCTGAAGATGGTGGCGATAGTTATATAGTATATCCTACATATGTATTATACATGGTGTGTTCCAAAAGTAATGCAAACGAAATCCCTGTGCCGCTCCTGTTGGTCGGAGGGGGATGAGATCACGTGAGTTAGGTGCGGGAGACCCTAAGCTTTCTAACGAACCCGATCCCAAGGCTCTCCGAGCTGTGAAAGGGACAGGACGTGAATTTTTGTGACCCCCTGTTTGGTGACTGTGTCACGGAAAAAGTGGCGTCGACGATCGGAACAACGTTACGCGATAAAGCTTTTGTGCTAAACTAAACAAATCTCTTGAGGAGACAACTAAAATGATTCGTGAGGCTTATGGGGACTCTGTTCTGTCGTACTCACAAGTTTCGAGGTGGTTAAAAGCCTTTAAGGCAGAGCGGGAAGAGGTTCACAATGATCAACGCTCAGAGCGGCCACCAACCAGCAAAATAGTCCGTCAAACAGTCCATAAAGAATTTCGTCCTGAAGAACAGATAGTTAACACCGCCTTTTACGTGGATGTGCTGGAAAGACTGCGGAAAAGGGTCGTCAAGACGAGAAAACACATCTCCGCTACCTGGATAGTGCATCACGACAACGCGCCTTGCCACAACGCGCTGCGAGTACGTGAGTTTCTGACCCAAAACAAGGTGTTAACGCTTCCCCAACCCCCCTATAGTCCTGACCTAAACTAAACAAATCTCTTGAGGAGACAACTAAAATGATTCGTGAGGCTTATGGGGACTCTGTTCTGTCGTACTCACAAGTTTCGAGGTGGTTAAAAGCCTTTAAGGCAGAGCGGGAAGAGGTTCACAACGATCAACGCCCAAAGCGGCCACCAACCAGCAAAACAGTCCGTCAAACAGTCCATAAAGAAATAGTTAACACCGCCTACTAAGTGGTTGTGCTGGAAAGACTGCGAAAAAGGATAAGCAGGACGAGAAAACACATCTCCGCTACCTGGATAGTGCATCACAGCAACGCGCCTTGCCACAACGCGCTGCGAGTACGTGAGTTTCTGACCCAAAACAAGGTGTTAACGCTTCCCCAACCCCCCTATAGTCCTGACCTGGCACCGGCAGATTTTTTTTGTTCCCCCGGATCAAGACACCTCTGAAAGGAATGCGTTTCTCGTCGATAAAAGACATCCAAGCGGTCGCGACTGAGGCCCTAAAAGTGGTTGCGGAAAACGCATTCCAGGACGCGTACCGTTCATGGCAGAGTCGCTGGCAAAAATGTGTACAAGCCCAAGGGAAGTACTTTGAAGAATTTTGAGTATTTGTAAGAATTGGTGCAATAAATTCCTTTAAAAAAAATCATTTGCATTACTTTCGGAGCATACCATGTATAAACACCTACAGTGACTATAATTTGCATCAAATTTATTATTTATGTTTCATTTTTCTAATTTTTAATAATTCCCCTTACCATGTATCCTACAAACTGACTATAATTATTTATTTCTACTATGATAGTTAATTTGTGAAAAATAAGTGTACATAGTATTAATTTTTTAGCAATCTATGTGGGTTTTTAACATCATGACGTCCATTAGGGCAATGCCACTGTTTCCACAAAAAGCATGAATTATTTCCAGTACTATGACTGTACAACTATTTCAGAATGCATATAATTTCTGTGTGAAATTTCCGTTTCCGTAGTTTCCTTTAAGTGTAATATTAGATTAATCATTTACGGATTTTCTTGAAATATTGTCTCTTAAGTCTTCTGCAAAGTTCTTGGAAATAAAAAACTTTTATTTTTTCGAACTTATAAATGTAATATTTTTATGTTACTAAACTTTTGAATGTACAGATTTTTCAATGTATAGATCCAAATTTTTCATATTCTTTTCATATCTAATAAATTGATTTCCTAATAAATAAGATATACTCAATAATTTAATAAATAATAATTTTTCATTTCAAGAAACATTTTGATTGATCAATATCTTTTATAGAAAATTGAAACAAAAATAAGGAAAAGACATAAAACATTTATCTTTAATTATCAACAATCAAAAACGCTGATTAATTATCATTATACTTCCATTAAACTTGCAAGAATGTTTTAAGCATTCTCTGTTGCAATAAGTTTCAAATGGGTTTCCTGAAAAATGTATTTTTCATATTTATGTCATTTTTCTAGAAAACCAGTGATTCGTAGACTGATATTCCCTGTGTGTAACAAGTATTATACATTTCAATGCCACATAATTTACATTTAATTACTGAATACGGATTAATGGTACACGAATCGGGAAGTATTTATAATGATTCAATCCACTAAATTTCCTTGTTGCATTATGCTGATATAATATTTCTATACTGTTTCACTTTTGGAGGATAATGATTAACTTTATTATATACATTACGCAAAATTTATTTCGAAAAGTGAATATGTATTGAATTATATTTAAAAAAATATTGCGGTAATTAGTTAATCCCTAGAAAATAAAATCGAATTAACTGTGACGAAACAAAATTTTTCAAATAAACGAATTGTGTGCGTTAAAGAAAGAGAGCCAAATAGTGAATGTGTTCGAAAGTTAAATAACTGATACATACTAATGGTCATTTAACTGATAGTTAAATACAACGTAATTTGTATGCATAATTTGAGAGTTTATCTGGACGCTTATTAAGGGAAATAAATGAATCCCAGATTTTAAATAGACGAAGGAAGTCCATAATGTTAATTCTGACGGTAATCAAGCAAAAGTGTATGAGTAATTTTCTCATGTAATATATTTCTATTTAAATTTACACGGAAAAATCCATATGTTGTAATGAACTTCGTGAGGTTTGTCAGCAAAATTCATCTAATCCCAAACAATGCGTGAAACAATGAAAGTTTTTGCAAATATATAATGTTTTTACTTTTGATTAGAAACTAATGAGAGAGAAGCATATGTTCAAAATCGAATGAAAGATTTTTTACACTAAGTATCGTTTATGTCTAACATACACAAAATGGTTCATAATGGCGACAGCCGTTTATATCCAGTCATGCTTACAATTAGTATTAGTTAACTCAGTATTAGCTCCCATTCACATGAGTACCACGTACCAAATTAACATTCAGGATAAAATATTTGGTACTAGTGAATCGTATTTATTCCTCTGTTAATTTAT